TTTAAAACTTTATCTTTCACCGACATGTGTGTCCAATGAACTACCACGGAATTTTTGTCAAAAATATTCCTTCTATCGCTCGTAAACATCCTGTCGACAGCTGGAATCCTGCATCACATCATAAAACAGGAAACCAGCGACTTTATGTGTATTGATGTGCGTATTTTGATCTATTATTATTATATTATATTAAGCAGAAAATGAATCAATCTTTCTTCTAAATCTGTGCAATCGAATGAATCATAAATAAATTAAATATTTTAATTTCTATATAAAGTCTAAAATAAAAACTAAAGTATTTTCGTAGTGTTTTATATTCCATTAATATTTTTTTATAAAAGGAATGTAAATGCACAGAGATAGATGTCTGGACGACTGATTGCGAATATTTTCTTTCGGTCAGCGACCCCTTCCCTCCAAAATCGTGCGATATTTATAGGAACCATACGAGAACCTACAATAAAAATTCCCCGCGACTACAAAATCTCACAAACGCGCTATTCATCGCTGCGCTGTCTCAAGGTATAAGACTCATCATTATCCGTTGATGAAGAGCGTCGAGAACGGTGACGGGCAACATTCGCTGTCTAAAACAACGCGTTCTTTCAGTCTCCCCCACGCAATAGACCGATGAGAGGAAGACAGGGGATCGCGTTGTCGGTCGTCATCTTAGCTTAGTTTAGGGTTCATCGCGGATCTGTCGGGCAATTCAACACAAGGACATCGTTATATCCTCCAATTTAAAAAATTCGACCGGCTCGAATTTTCGAATTAGAAATTCCGCGGCCGTTTTGGCCCTGCTGCATGCTCGCGATATCACCCAGAGCGCTTCCATCTCCAATCTCCACGAAAAGAAATCGAGACGTTCTCGATTCGAAATGGTGCCCGGAAGGTAGATAGTATTTATCAACGATGAGGGTGGATCGGTTTCGAAACCTAGCGTGACCAATTCTCGTGAAATCCCTTCAAATCTGAAATAAATATTTGAGAGCTCGAAGCGGAACAATCTCCCTGTCCGGAAGATCCGTCTTTCTCCATTAATTGGATATAAATTGGATCCAATCTAATTCGAATTAAGCCTGTAGAATCCGCCGCAAACGAATCTCGCTTTTTTTTCTTGATAGCACTTAGGAGATTACTTTCTCAGAAATGAGACTTTACACTGGTGCAATTTACTTGTACTGCTTGCCTTGTCAATTTAGAATCTAATGGTTAATTCTTTTTTTACAAACTAGTGATTTATTATTATCGATAAAAAATGTTATTTGAGTATATAGTTAATAATAAGAATATACAAATGATTTCTACTGTTAATGTATCAAAACAAATCATGCGTTATTTGCATTTATTATTTTCCACGTGAAATGCCGTTAAAAGAACATCGTATTTCTTTCATGAATTGCTAGAAACGCGATCTAATCTCGATTCGAAGATCACTATGCCCAATGTCCACTTGGAGGGCTCATTCGTAAAGCGTAATTTCGAAGCAGTCTGAATCTCGAGACGTACAATGTCCTTCTCACCCCTGCATGTACGTTTAGTCGTGCCACCTGTGCGCCTGTAAATCCGGTTATAAAAAGATCCACCGCGTTTAGAGACCGGCGCGACGAGAGTGCGAGCGAGAGAGAGAGTGAGAGTGGATTCAAGGAGCAGTTCACAATGAGAGCGGTGCTTTCTACGCGAGATGTGAGCGGGGACCACCGGCCAGGCTCGTTCTCGGCCAGTAAACGCGCCTCAAATTGAAACGGCCTCGCACGATAGGATTCATTTAATTCATCTTCAAATCCCGTGGTCCACGAAAGGACCCGTGTGCAATCCATCGAACCGAAAGAAGATTCATTCGAGTGGACGGGGATTAAGCTATAGAGATTTAAATCTCATTATTTCAAAAGATCCGGAATTATCTATCATGACCTTGGCAGTTAATTTTTTTCTGTGTAACATGATGAAATAAATCATCGGGCGAAACAAAAATCTAAATATCTCTATTATGAGAAACATAAGAAATATTACGAATAAATAGAAACGACGGAGTTATTTATGACGAAGAAATAGGTTAATGCAAAGCGGAACACCAGTGCCATGAGCATTCTCATAAATATTCCGAAATCTCATGTTTGCCTTTGACTGTATGCAGGGACATTCATACGATTTTCAGCGGTCAAAGAGATTTAATTTCGGTCGCGGTACGGCAGAAAAGCAAGCGTACGTGTCAATTAAAGCGCTCGCTCGCTTTCGTACGCTTTCGTATGCGTAACGTGCGTGCATTTTATTAACTCTGTTTTCGCCTGTCACTTGTATCTTCTCTTCGTCGATCCCGGCATTGATTTCGCATATTTATATGTCGCGGCGGGTAGTTATTATTTGGTTGATATATACTGAGCAGAGTACATCTTGATCGATTATTTAGTTTATATTGCGCACGCGACCATTGCGTTGCCCAAAAAAAGAGTCAATTATTTGCGAATTTCTTTAACGAACCTCGCTTTTGTAGGTCGGAATTTTCGCTCATCCAGCGAGAACTTTACGACCGATGTTCGATATATCAAATGCGACCGGGAATGATAAAGCGAATGTCCGTCATTCGGAGTTTGTACAATCGCCGCCGGTGTGTTTCCGAGAAACGTAATGAGTAGGCGCGCCGAGAGAAAATGTTTAATTACTGACAAAATAACAAATACGGAGCCTTTCGACAGTTAATTGCATCCCGTTGCCGGCGGTGACCTCGAAACATCGAAGTAACGCCGCGAAACGTTTGTTTCCTTCTTTCTCCACGCCGTCTCCACGGTTTTTTCCATCGAAATCCATCTGAACCAGGTATGGTGTGACTCTTGTTATTGAAATTAACCAGCGTGTAATCGGCCCGCAAGCACGATACCTTAAGCGGATGAGTAAGGCGCGAAATCTGCAGTTTGTGGGACAGCCGCATTACGCTCCGCGTATTTTCGGCGTAGCAAGGTGTGAAACCCATATTTGGCGATGCTTCGATAAATCTGCGCCAAGACAGAAACGAAATCCTGATGTCCAATCTTCTTATTATTATCCGCCGCTTTCTTCCCGTTTATTGCACGCTCGTTGTGGATCCAATTCGGCCATGTGTGCGGTCTTTGAATGTATTTTTTAATTGGTTTACCATAAAAGCCATCTGTACGCTTAACAAGTTAACAGATATAATGCACAAAGTTATTTTGTTTCAAATTAATTCAAATAAGTGCTCTGTTTTCACGAAAAATTGTTTATAAAGAAATATATTCTCTTCGGCATAATTACCATCCATTTTTTTGCAATATAACACTAATATTTTATTACAGATATATATATATATATATAAATAGTGTATTTATAAATACACTATTTAAAATGTATTACTGATTTGATTAAAACTCATTTTTTTAACAAAACAATAATATGCTACAATTAATAAATATTTCGTCCACAGTCTATTTTATACATTTTAAATTTGACGGAAAATTATTCAGCAAACGAGCATGTCTCAGCTCGAATGCTCTTTGATGCATTCCTGCTTTAATGCACTTTGATCTGCAACTATGTGAATCGCAGTTCTGGCACACACAAATCACTGCTGAGACCAATTATTAATCCATCATTCCCACACCAAAAATACTTTTCCTGCGTGTTTCTTTCGCCAAGCCGCTTCTTGGCCAAGCCGCTTCGTCCGATTTAATTTGACCGACGGGATCTCACCCGAAGCGTGTGATCGCACTCGATTATGGCCGCGGCACCTGCTTAAGCCGTCTCCGCACCGCCCGCGGCAAAAAGTCTCATATGCTCGACTCGGCGGTGATTACGAATGCGATTCGCGTGCGGCGCGGCGCGGCGCCCGCGCGTCCAGCTTCATTGAAATCCGCGAGCCACCGAAAAGATGTGCTAATGAGCAAGACGCACGGTTGATTATAGAGCGGCACGGAAAACGAGCGTTTGAGAGGACGACGCGCCGCGAAGCGCGCTAAGTGGCAAAGGGGCGACCACCTAGCGAGCGAGCGAGCGGGCAGGCAAAATCCTTTCCTTTGGAAGGTGAGAGCCGAGCCGATAGAAGGTCGCCAGATGTCCCGTGATGATCGTCGTCGATACACGAAGACCGCCAAGAAAGTGTCATAATCTCGGGCTTTGCTCGTGCCAGCTGGCTAATTTCCTACGCCGCCAAGAGCACGGCGCAAATGACGCTCGGCGGAACGTGTAATGCGGATAGCCGGCAACGATAAAGGCGGGACGAGATTCACGCAGGATTATGTTAAGGTCTTTGCAAACGCCGACATTTCGATACTACACATTTTTGCATCGATAATTATAATGCGATTCACAACGTACCGGCCAGATGGTAAATTCTTAAGGGCCTGAGATACTTTACCATGAAATTGGTAAATAGACATTTTGTGTAATCGAAATACTTGTACTGCATAAGCAATCGTGAAATGTAAGAAATTGATAACGTTATAAAACTCATTGAAAGACGTTGAGAGATTAGCTTACACTTGAAAAAAGTTAAACGTTAATTTGCATTCTTAATTTAAGCACTCGGAATGCATTATTAGTTGCAAACAGTGAGAAATGCTGTAACATTTATCAACATACATAGGAAGAGGAAGTCTCCCTGACCATGTACTAATATCTTATTACGATGTACGAGCTACTTGACGGTTCTATTAGCGCGATTATTCGTTACTACTGTGTTACCTCGCATTGTAGATTAATGTCTAACATCCGTGTATGCTTATCGATTTTCGCCGCGAGAGACTGGCGCCGTTAAAATATACAAAATGATCGATAACAAAATTCTTTTCGTAGAATTAATAATGTTACAAAATTTATTTGCGAATAGAACCACGATATTATTTCGTTTTCTTTTTCATAAAATTGATGATGTCTTGAATGTTATGTTTAAAATTAACCGTGTAACGTTTGTAATTTCTGCCGACTGTTATTGAACAAATGTGATTTGGAACAAACTTGGAAATAATAAATGACTTTCTATTTTGCAGAACTGCGTGCATGGAACTTTGACAAAGTGGCGGTTTTAGGAGAGAAGAAGTTCCAGGAATGCTACTTGCAGGAAACCGTCTGACCTACCGGTCAATTGTCCGTCCGGTGCTCAATTGAAAGGTAAGGCAAACCTTTTTCCCGAGTTTTTCTAATCTATTCGAGCGGCGCGGTCAGGCACACGGGTTAGTCTCATTCACGAATTCATAGCAGTCACAATGGGCGTTCTTACTACGCCTATCCGAGCGCGGTTATCTAGGCAAATGCTCGAGTGAAATACTGGTAGATTTCATTGAGCCCCAGCCACCGAGCAATTTCGCAGCGGCATTGACTGCGTCTAAGGCGACACTTGGCAAGTTGAATTGGCAGGAAGCCCGACGCCGCTTAACTCTTCTTTCAATGAGATTATCGCCGGTTACCCGGGTCTCTTGCCACCGAGCCCGACTTCATTCGTATTGTTGCGAGTGTTACCAGCGACGACCGCGACGTGACGATTCATGAACACGGCGACGAGACTTCCCGGGAATCCATCTCGCAAAAGGGCTTCCAAGTGTCTGAAGTGGGTGATCGATAGCAGTCCCCGGAAATGAGAACGTTCGAGGCTTTTGTTTTTATCCTTTCAGATTGCACAACTTTGTCGCGAATTAATACTATTCATCGCAATTAGCATGTTTCCTCGCCCGCTGCTCTTCACTGAAGAAGCCAATTAGCAGGAAATACTGATGCCGCGGAATAATCGAGTGCTTTCTAAATTTTTTTTTTATTCTATTGAATTCTTTGACTTTTTCAAACGGTCTTATTATGACGCTTCTCGTAACAGTTTTTGTGAACTTCCACCACGTGCTTTTCATTATTTATCATTAACACATTTTTAAGAGTTCTAACGACAAGTTGTCTGTGTATGCCAAAGGTTGCACGTGAGAGGGTTCTAATGGAGACCGAGATTGAACTAGCTAGCGACCACTTACCATGAGCTCCCTCGCGTTTAGCACGTTTAGCACTGGTCAACTGACCGCGTAATCATCGTCGTATGAGCTGGAATAATGCCAGGAACGCGCCGGTCTAAGTGAATTAGTGGTGCGTGCTCGACACTTTTATTTTTCTCTCGCTTGCTTTTCGTTAAGCGCAGGCGCTCTAATGGTTCGCCATTTACGGACGCCGGGAACAATGCCCCCCGTGTATCGATTTTCGCCAGTTCCGACAGTCTCCTCTATTCGGCGTATCCTCTCAGCGACGTTGACGTAGTTGAGCATTTAAAATTCAAATGCATCGGTCGACGAATATTCATCAAATTCCGCCTACAAAAATTATCGCGGGGCATTGTCGCGCGTCCCGTTACATATGGAATGCCTTTCCACGAAATAATTTATACACTGCGAACTGGTACAGGGGAGAATATCTTGACAGTATTCTAAGGACCGTCATTAGTCAGCGCCGATAACTCGCCCAAGACCCACGACGACGTTACACACCTCGCGCGTAAATCCCGTTTCGAATCGCGTGACAAGTCAAATTTGAATATAATCTCTCGCCTCTTTGACAACTGCATCGTATTTCTAACAACGTATTATCATAGATATCGCGCGACGCGCGATTTCCTTATCGTGATGAATGTGCTGTCGCGATTAATCGATTTAATGCGATTCCGAGAAGCCGCACGGTCACGGCGAACATGGTAATGAGCGGTGCGTCGTCGATAGCATCAAACACGGTTTTGCGAGCATTCACGAATTATAATTGGCATGTAATTAATGACACCGTCGTTATTGACAGGTGGGAACCGTCGCCGCGTGCTACACGAATTATTCGCCTCGACCGCGCCCCTTGATCCCGTTTCGGGCTCCGCTTATTTTTAGGCTTAATTGCTTCAACGTGTTACGGCATAATCACCGTCACGGTACAACGTGATCGTGAGATATCACGCGGCAATTGCGAATGTTTACGATCGTACCCGCACCTTCGTGATCGGATCGCTGTTTGCCGAGTAATTTTCGGAGGAACCAGTACACGCGAGATAAATAGTTTGGAGAAAATTTAATGATATCGCTGTGACGTAATGTTTCATTATATCGAAGTGTTGCGAGAATCAAAACTGGTGTTTGCACGATTGCCTAAAGTTTATGTAACATGAAATATGTTTAATCTGATTTTTATTAACTTTGTCCTCTTATCAAATATCTGCAAGCGTATAGTATAAGCCTTGTGCATAATTATTTATTTATTATAAGAAAATGTATATCTTTTAATTTCTTACTTTTAATTTATTGACAATCTGCAGAATTATGGCGCGCCTGAAGCGTCAAATGAATATACAGACATTTGCATGGAAAAGATTTATTTTTCAAAAAAGCGCGATACACGTTACAGTGCGTATCGACGAGGGACAACGATTATAACTATCATATATATATAGTGTATACTCGCCTAAAATCGATTGATATCGGTAAATAACTTAGTAAATTCCGTTAATATCACAACACATTATTTCCTCACTTGATCTCGTATGGGCCGAGGTTTCCCTTGCGCCTCCTCGAAGAAAAACCAACTGTGCGGTTTATCTGACCAATAGATCGCTTCACGTTCGCCCGATACTCGTCCTCGTAAGTGTTGAGATACAAGTTCTTGAGGAATATTTGATTATCCAGCTCCGAAGGCGGCAAAAACCGTTTCGAACGGCTCTGCTGTTGCGCCTGTAGCTCGTCGAAGGTGAACTGTTTTGATTTGGCGTCGCTAACGAACTTCTTCAAATTCTTTTGATCCATGTCGGCCGGTTTCACAGACAGAAGCTTCCTCTTTTGACGCGGAGCGCCAGCGTCTTCCGAGGCGTTTCGTATCCGCTTGCTGCGATGCTTGGGCGCTCCTTCTTTGGCCGGAATCTCATTGTCCAGCACGGAGACGTCGTTAGTCGGGATTGTCGATGATTGATTATCGTATGACTCGACCTTCTTCGGCGCCAGTACCGTACTGGATTCGACGGTGACGCTCTCCTCCGTCGAGTTCAATTTATTTTCTATGATATGTTTGAAAAACGCGTACATCTCGCCGATCGTGAAAGTTGTGCCATTCCTCACGGTGAACTTGTCGATGTTCATCTTCTTAATTAATTCCTCGGTCGCGTTGCGCGCTTCTAGCATCGATAGTTTCTCGGTTACATAACTGTTTACGAACTCGTAGAAGCCCTTGTAATAATTCTTTCTATGCTTCTTTTTGTCCTTCCGCTTCTCGGCGTGCGACAAACCTTTCCTCTTCGCGTCCTTCCGATTCTGCTTCTCGTTCCAGCGTATAGATTTGTTATAGAACCTCATAATTCGCTCGAATTCTCTCTTTAACTTGATAAATTCTCGCTGATTGCGTATCTCGAAATCCGAACGGGCTCTGCTGTTGTTTCGTCGCGATTCCGCAAGATCAACATGAAAGAAATTTTTGCTCATCGCGTTCAGCAGATCGTGCATGGTATTGTTGCTGGAATTATTTGGCTGTTTGGCGTCCATACGTTGCAGCTTTCTGTACACCATCTTGAGAAAGTCGATCATTCTCTCCTCTCGCAAACGGGATTTATTGCCGTGAACTGCGTGTGATTTCCAAGCCGATGAATCGGATGCATTGGTGTTGTTCTGATGGTTAACAGCGGATGCTAGCTTCGCCTCCGCTTTATGCTTGCCGTGCTCGCGACTCCTGTTCATTTCTATATGTAGAAGCTTCTTGCCTACTTTGTGGAAAAATTCGATGAATTTTCTGAAACATTAATAATGCATTTTTATTTTTAACGACGTTTTTATATCGCTGTGTTAACTTTATACTAAATAAATAAAATTCAAGTATAAAATTAAAATTATTTTTCTTACGAACTAGATTGATTTCAAGCTATTTGAGCTGTTTATTTTACGAGCAAAAATTCAATCAACTCATAAATTCTTACTTGTAATCCAAAGTAACACTGTCATCCTCCATTGATCTACGCCGTCTGCTCCATCGGAGCCTAGGATGCTGTCCAAGAATGCACTTGGGCAATTCCTTGGGGCTCCACGCGCCGCCTATACAAGTCGCACCGGTTGGCCCGTCGTCGAGAACGTAACCCTTGTCGCAATCGTACATAATCTGCTTGTTATTGACGATCTTCTTCACGTACGGCCTGTAATCGTAAACTCCCATATTTCCAACCAAGAAAACTTTACCGTTTTCGATGAAACCAGGAAATGGACAGAACACTTGATCGCAACGCGGTATGTCGCCGATCCAGTTGCCGTAGCGGCATTCCACGGACTTGGAGAGGTTCAACGGTCCTCCGCCGATTAACTCGAAGCCGTCTTTGCATTTGAAAACCGCCTTCATGCCGTGATCGGTCTTGGGCGCTATCACCATCCCGTTCTTCGGAGGTTTCGGCATCTGCTTGCAACGAGCCGGCGAGCAACTCGGTACTATTGACCAAGTACCGTTATTACATAAGACCGGGGTGCTGTTGGCGGCAAACTCGTAATTCGTAATACAGCTGACCAGAAGTCGCTGGCCGTGATCTACCACCGTGACATTGTTGATCTGACTTTTCTCGTGGCTGGCTACGGTTACGTGACCGTTCTCGATCTGCGGGACAACGCACGGAGCTAAACATTGCGGCAAAGGATAACGCCATTTGCCATCTTTCTGACAGACGGAAGAAGTATTGCCCTCCAGTTTCATACGATCCTTACAGCGGAAGATTATGCTAGCGCCCATACCTGTGCCTGCGATTACGATTAATTTCATAAGAAATTATAATATATAAATTGTAATATTGTCTATTTATTATTTTATATTATTTTAATTTAGCCGATTTAGAAAAAAAACACACCAGCTTCAATGTTTTCGATCCAACCGTTATATAACACGCCAGGTAAACCGCAATTGATTTCCTGGCAAGTAGGCGTCTTTCCAGTCCACTTTCTGTCAGCACCGCAACGTCTGGTTGCTGCGCCTACGACGGTGTAGCCGTACTTGCATTCATACGATACGATGGAATTATACGCGTAGGAGGTGTAGACAGCCTTGCCGTTGACTGGATTTTCTGGCTTCGGACATTGCACGGACGTGACCTGTACGAGATATTAAGCATGCTAAACGCGTTCTTGAGAAATTTACGACGTTAACATTTAGTTTTTAGTTTTTTCTTACATGAACGCATTGTGGCAACTCCTTCGGGATCCATGTGCCATCCGCCAGGCACAATTTCTCCACTTTCCCAACTAATTCGTAACCATCCGAGCAATGATACGATACGCGACAATCATATGTATAACACTCCCCTTAAAAGCAGAACCGGCAATTAATATCTTTCTCGCGTGAAATATTGATAATTGATCGTAATTGTCAAACTCACCAGAATGCCAGCCATTGGAAATGCCCGGGGGTTGTTTACAGGTTTGAGGCTTGCAAGTGATATCCGGTCCGAACCAACTAGCAACATCTTCCATCTTTAGACATTTCGCTCTTTTCGACCCCGACGCAGCTACGTATCCGAGAGTACAGGTATACAGCACCTCTGTGTCAAGATCGAAAGTCGTCTGCTCCGGCAGAGCATTGTGATGCGCATTTTGGATCTTCGGCAGCTGGGAGCAGAAAGAGGTGGAATCCTTCTTGCAAGACGGAGTGGTGCCAGACCAGTGACCGTCGGCGCGACAGGTTCTTTCGGACAGACCGACTATGAAGTAGTCGCTGTCGCAAGCATAATGGGCTTTATCACCGAAGAATCTTCCATTGATCGTCATCGCGCCGTGATCAATCTCGGTCAACACCGGGCACTCGCGCTCAGGCTTGATACATGACATTCCGCAGGTTCCGTCGCATCTGCACTTCTTCTTCTTGCTCTTGCAGTCCTCGTCGGTGGAACATTTTCGCAGACACTTTTGACCCATCAGTTCCGCCTGCTCCTCGTCTCTCGGGCACTGGGCGGAGGGTGAGTTCCGTGGATTCTTATAGATTCGTCCGTCGTCGTCGACCTCGGGCCTCGACTGATAACTCCCGTCGTCATCGTCGTCTTCGTCATCGTCATCCCAGTCATCGTCGTCGTCATCGTCATCGTCGACGGCCGCTTGCTGCCGGAGCTTCGATTCCGACGTGAGAAACTGGGCGCACAGCAGCATCAACAGAACGATCGTGCTTGGTCTCATTCTGAGAAAAAATTTCTGATTCCTGCCGAAATTCACTGGAAAATTTACACTAACGGATGGACGACACACGACGGCACCAGGTCACGATGGGATGTTTACATGACCGCTTAACTATCCGAACTGACCACGTCACTCGGAGATTTGCAGAGAGCCAATGCCGTGATCTTCAGGTGCGCACGATCGTCCATCGAACTGCACCGTTTCAGACGTCCTACTCAGAGCACCGCGGAAGTCATCTCGAGCTGCGGACGTTGTTTCTCTCGCGAGCGCGGCTATTAATCGAGTCCGCCTCTTCGGCGTCCGGGAGGATTAGGGAGTCTCGCTGTCTGTCTCTCTCGCCGGAGTGCTCTTTTACTCCTACTGACTCCACCTCGCTCCCTCTCGCTCTATCCTGAATGCTTTTTTCTTTATTGTACGGACTGCGGTCCCCGCTGACGGGAATTCGCGGATATTCGCGCATCTCGACGCGCGCATCTAGCCTGTTCAATACATCTCCTGGTTTTCCCAGCTTCCAGCAGATGGCGAGGAAACGTGGTGATAAAAACAGTGGTGAGGCTGCGCAGCCACCCTGGGACCTCGGCTCTTCGTGGTAGTCTTTGGATACGAGCTGTTACGTATAAGCAATCGTTTCAATCTTCTTCGTCAATTATTTTTAAATCAAATCATGATTCCTAGTTGCTACAGCTGCGATTTTACTTCTGATTAAATTATAATATTCACTTTTTGTAAATCTTTTTATCGTCTTGATCGTTAAAAATTAGTAAAGAAATTGCGAATTATCCCTAAAGCGGAAAGTTTCTACCATGCAATCAGCGCCTACTAAACTTTTACTATCACGCGATATCCGCTTCTTCGGCTAAAAAAATTCCTCGGGGAGCAGGGGAGGTCTAAAATTATGTTCACGCAAGAGGCGACATTCGGGAGAAGAGCTGAAACGAGCAAAAACGTGACGCCACGAAAACGCTACGGTGTCGTAAAAATTACGCCGGGGAAAAGTGTTAAAACGAACCGTGGCGCTTCTGAGACTGAGAAATGCACACGCGAACAAGCACACCTGCGAATCCGTTTTAAGTTCTCAAGCGCAGTGGGTACGAATTATCTCTCTGAAAGCACTCGCCTGAGTTTAGTTTCACTTTTTCTTTCTTACGCAACGTGCGGCAAATACATTTTATTTGCTTAGACGACGCTCGAGATTATTCATCCTTGACTTCTCGCAAATTTCATGATTCTTGAGAATGATATCTTGTGCAAAAAAATTTACAGTTTTTAATTCAACGTTCGGCGCCACGACGATTTGCATCACAAAGTAGCAATTTGCCTATCTCGGTATCGAGTAACGAACGAATGAAAAATGCACGCGCCGCGTACAAGCGTGGGTAGTAGCCAGGGGGATCGGTTTTCATCGGACAAAGTCGAGCCTATCTCCGGCCTATGCTTGTTAGTCGTCATGCTACCAAGATAATCCTCGATCTCTAAGTCAAGCGTCATCGTTAGAGTAAGCCTATGTCAGTCATTGTCTTCGTAACGATAGCAATCAATCGGTACGGCTCGATGCTCCGGCCACACCGTAGGTGATCCTTGGTCCAATCTCTCGTATCGGCTTCATCGTTCTTGCACCGTGTCTCCGGAATGTCTTCATTTGTCTTATTCAAATGAAACATTTTCGTATAGCTTTCGTTTGAATGAAGAAAAACGAGATCTTTCGAGAAAATTCGGAAAATAAAAACGACGCAAAATACAATAATTTGTTTTGCTAACGTTAATTGTAAAAAGATAATGCATTTTCCAATTTACAACTTACTTAAGCAAGTTTAATTAACATAAAATGTATGTATAATTACAACAGAAATCGTCATCATTTCGTCGAAATCGTCGAGATAATTTTTTTTTTCGTATACTTTTGTTTCGTAGTATAGTCATTTCCGCGTCTGAATATAGGTATCAGACCGGATTGACAGAGTGGCAGTAACTCGGTAGTTGAAAATGGGAGTGGCTGGAAGACAAGAAGACAGCTTGCTCAAAGACATCTTCGTGGCGCCTCTTCGCGACTGTGAGGAATGAAAGAAAACAGTGGGTCTCAATCAATATGCAATTAAAAAAAATATTGCGTTTTTTGCTTTAAAATGACACGACATTTTATAATATTTATTATTTTTCTCGTAAAAAGTATTTCGTCAAAAGTATAGAGCTGGAGCAATGTTAAAAGAAATTTTTTGAGTATTATCTATACATATCACACGTGAGAAACCCTGCCGTCTCTTCGAAGGATGTCCCCTTTCGTCCTCGATGGGCGACGGACGTCTCGCCAGTTTTAGGGACGGGACTATCAAAGTTTATGCAGTTGCGCGCCTACCTTACATGACGTTGCATTCTTTTTTCGTTTGCCTCTTCTCCGAAAAGCTCGGATACTTTCGAGTAGGTTGCTCTTAACTTTAAGCAATTTCTCATTCTATTAATTCTTTTTAGTCAAGAATATGATAAAACATAACTAGCAAAGTTTCTCATTACGCGCTCTGGAGAGCTTGGAAAGACCGTAAAAGAAGTACGACCGTAAATTCGCGGAGTTTTTTTTTCAATTAACTTCATCCCACCGGATGTGGAAAAGTACGAAAAAAACCCGACTCTCGGCAAAAGCTACGCGTTTCTGCTCATTCTGCAGCTCGTTACGCGACCATTATCCCCAGTCTCACGAATCCATTATTCTCTCTTCAGCCTCTCGAAGGTTCTTTTGCGATTCGCGCACCGTCCACATGACGCTGCGGAATAATGGTTTACGGTCGTTCTCCGGCCGACGAGAACCTCCGGACTCTGTTCGCGCGCATGCATACTCGTCGGCTCGCGCATAATCCGGTTGCAATCTTTCGCACTCAATCACGAAGCAAATGACGCCAGTTGGCGTTGGTCTAGAAGAGGCAAAATTACCGGAATGAAATTGATTTAAGCAGCCTCCGGGGATATGCAGAGAGTTTTGCAACCGGACGTTTCGGCTTATAGCCGATGATTGTCCGTCCGAGTGAACTTGTGCATTCATCATACAACAAAGTAAAAATTCAAAACAAAATAACATTTCTTTAAACAATAATTAATATCATTCAGTTTTGCATTTTGTTATATTTCATGCTATTATTAATTATTGAAATTATTTAGTCTAAAAGCTGAGTATCATCTATCATCGACTAAAATCCAATACATGTTAAATTATTCCATCAAGATCATCAAACACCATTACTAGCCAAAGAAATTTATATATTTTTTATCTCGCTGAGATCGCTTCTTATCATCCGATAAACGTCCCAGCGCAATTTCCCGTCGCCGATTGGCACTTAAACTTTCTTTAACTGCCAGCATCCACTTCGGCGAACGATCTCGAGCACTCTTGAGTATCACGGAGGCATCCACGTCGTCACTTACTCGTTGGATCTTTATGTGCCGCTGCGCAGCGTCCGCCGCTGACGCTCTTTGTGCGCGATGCGTTGGCTACCGAGCGCGTTCATTTGACGGATGCACCTACGCTGCGCAGCTTCCTTTCACGGCTTTAGTACGTGCCTTAAGCTGCATTCGACGGACCGGCTCTTACGAGACGCACTGACTGCGTCCAATTCAGAAGCAATTGAATTCACAATTCCGGCCATTACGAGTGTCGGGAAAGGATTACGGACGGCGCTGCCGGGCTGTGCGTGCCGCATCTGCATCCCTGCGTAGGGAGACCGCGGACGTATGCATAAATGCATATATGCGCCTCCGTATGTTGCATCGCACGTACGCGACGTAACTTGTCTGTTGCGAATTACGCTCTCGGGCTCCTAGACTTAAAAATCCAGTTCGGAGTAAAAGTATCGGTGTCGTGCGGGAAGTGTCAGTTGATGGAACGACTGGATGCTTCTTAATAGGCTTATGAATAGATATTCGCGGCTCTTTAATGATTTATTGTTAAGTGACAGTTAAGACCTACCGCTGCTTATACGGCAAAGTATAATAGATGTGCACGTATTCCTCGTTAAATAGATTTGCATATACTGCTCAAGATGTATCTGTCTTTGTCAAAATTTCATTAGGATTGTAAATAATCTTCAAGTAATACATAATTATTTCTCTTTTACTTCTATATTTCGTTAATTTTTGCAAATTAGAAATCTCTCTCGATGCAACAAAGAATACGTTTAACAGCATCACGTACAAATTTTATTTTATTTGGCATAATAGCTCTCATTAAAAATTCAATAACGTTCCAGGTGCGAATCAATACTTCCTCTTGTAACGTTCCAAATTTATAAAGTCCAGCTAACCGCGTTTGCACACGCGCAACGAGACCGTTGTGAGCAATAACAACGCGTACGAACACGGGAGACGGGTGAAAGTTCTGCCTTTTGACGCGCTGATTGCAGGTTTTCTTACGCGTCAGTGCTTTTTGACGTTCTCGGCCGGTCGCGAGTATCCGGGCTGCCCGTCGGTCTCCCACCCTCGCCGCCCAAAGAATTGGAGCACCATGAAGTGCATGATGATAGTAATTATGCACCGCCATGTAAAACAGATTTGCGCAGAGCCACCTGAAACCGGCCCGCGTGCCGTGCGTACAATTATTAAGCCGTCACAACGCGAGAGGACGGGCTTTTACCGTCTTGGGCTTTCGCTGCTACTTTTTCTTGCCCTCCCCTTTAGGGCAACCCCCGGGAAATGCGGGGAAGTAACGCATGCTATGAAATCATAAGACGTAATCCTCCCCGTTTCGCTTTGCATGACGATAGCCTGCCAACTGTTATTTCTCTACAACTGAAGAAGCAAAAATTAGTATGTTAACTAAAATACGGTGCTAATCGCCGATTACGAAAAAAATATAATCTTTTCAAATATATTATTAAGAAGTTGATCGAATAAATAAATTGGCGCCAGCCATCGTTTATTATTATTACGCGCTACGATCATCATCCGGTCGCGAAAAGTCTGCTTACCATAATTGCAATGCGGAAGAGAGCCCCGTGCGTGTCGTCGAAGGGATCTTCCCATCTCCTTCCGGTCTCCGTCGAGTTCCGCATCATTGTTTCTATAATTAGCTATTCAGATTTACTTCCTCGCGCGGACGCGTGCGCGGATATGACGTAGTCGATGGCGGCACGTGGACGACGAACGTCGACTGGCAAACGTAGGCTGCCACGCGGAGGCGTTAGCGGAAGACTGCCAGTATGATAAATACAGCCGCTTCAAGTAGTAGACACTTGCGAGAGATAGTTACAACATGGTAACGATATGATCGCACTTCGAGAAAAATGTCTCCCATGTGCAGGTGGATTCTTACAGCTACAAATAAGGGAAAAGTTAACTCATTTGTCAAGAAAAAAGATGCCATTATAATTTATGACGTTTTAGGCGTATTAGTCTTCAAATAAAA